ACTATTTGAAATGATTGAAATCTGAAAATTTTACCATAGATACTACTCATTGAGGTGATCATTTTTGGTAGCAAACGTTTTCTTTTCTGGTGTTCTATTTTTTGGGAAATCGCACAACAAAATGGTAATTTCTGACGTTTTTTGGGCAGAAGTATCTCAATGAAGCTTAAACGTACTTTTATTTGTCATTAGTGCTTTAGAACCGCCAAACTGTTCTCTATTCAACGTTGAAATCCACAGATCTGTAGCTTATTCTATGACCGAATGGCAAAAAAATCTTTCGGACCTAGTTTCAAAAATGTTCCAAATTTGTACCTTCGTCTCAGGCACAATTTTCAAAAACCAAAAACCTATCTTACAGTGGATTTTCATCAGTACACTTAGCTCTACCGTTCCTGAAATTTTCGTTTTTGATCAATGCTATTGGGCCCAGAAAACGGACAACTCGGTTGATATAAGTAATAGCAATTAAAGTGGTCGGCACAATAGTAATTATCTTGGTTTTTATGACAACATTTACTTTATAAAACGAATGTGTACAGATTGAACAGTGGTGTTTGCATAATTTCATGCCCGATAGACTACCAAGGAAGAGTCAAATCGATAGCCGACGCTTAACTTCAGTGACGAATGTTCTATTATAATCTCATGTGCTAACGAAGATATATTTCGACATTTCATGACATCTTTTGCACTGTTTCGTCTCGGTAGTGGCTTCTCTTTTACGAGCAATGAAATATTTTAGATGATTCATGATATGTATCTGCTGGTTTACAATAATAAACTCATTCTCTTTTTGTCCATTCCAGAGGAAATATTGGAAAAATGCCAAGACGACGGTTATGTCAACATCCAACACTACATACTGTTTCTTCTTATGTAGCAACAGGTTCTCGGCGGGTCTCTTCTCGTCTTCTCAATTTTATACGGACTCGTTATGATTTGGAACAATTAAATATTCGTTGGTTGTGCTCGAAGTGTCAATGGGTGGAAACAAAGATGATGAAAGAACAGGATGAAACTGTTGAGAAGTATGACATGGATACTGGTGGTGACGAATTAAGCGGAAATAGTTCGACGGATCATCAAGAAGATGATGATGATGCAGAAGATGAAGATAATGAAGAAGGTGATAGTAATGAAGAAGATGAAGATAATGAAGAAGATGAGGATAATGAAGAAGTGGATGATGAATGCGATCGACAAGCTGAAGATGATGATCACGAAGAAATAAGTGATGAAAGTGATCAGCAAGGTTATGATGATGAAAAACAAAGTGAAGATGATATGCTTCTTGAAGTTAGTTATCTCGAAGAACAAGCGATGGAACAGTTATCTGCGGTTTTTAAATTACTAAAAATGGATCCTATCCATGATAAGTGAGTTTCAGATGTTGTTTAACTTGATAAAAGGTTTCTGTTTAAGATTAAATACTAACTCGATTCGTTCTCGAATTAGTCAAGTTTATACATATCTTCATGGCTTATGTGATATACTAGAAGGAAAATCTGGAAACGAACATAACCCAAATCCACATGAGCTTCTTGTTGAAGAATCGAATGATCTTCTGACAGGTTTAAAAAATTTATTCAACGAAAGCTATGCTTCCGAGCAAGTTCGTTTGTTAACCATTGCACCTAAGGCATGGGGTCGAGAAAAAATTCGTAAATGGTAAGTAGTATGAAAGTCAGTAGCTGAATATTCTATTTCGACTTAGTTTCATGAACGAAATCTTTGTATACACCGTTTCTTTTCAGGTTTGGATCATCTGAACATCAGGCTCGTGAATCACTTACCCTTCGACAGAACGAAGGTATTCTGGCTGTCCCGCAATATTTCAAAGGCAATACTCCAATTTCGAATGATACGATTACTACTATAGTCAACTTCTACCGAGAAGATGGTACTAGTCGTATGTCATCAAATTCCAAAAATACAATTCAAATTAATCAAAACACAGTACCTATTCGTTATATGGAAATGAGCATCTTAGATGCTTTTCGAATATTTGACGAACGCTTTCCTGGTTTGATCGGTCGTACAACATTTTATTCATCACGACCTCGGGATATAAAGATTTTATCGCCACATGAGACATATATGTGTATCATACATGAAAACATGAATCTTTTGATCAAGGTATGTATTCATTTACAAACTTCAGCGTATCATTAAAATATGTCTTAACCCTATCAAATTCTACTCTGCTAAGAAATTTCAGTTTCTTGTGGTTTGGCACAGAAGTGGAAAGCTTACAATCTAGTGGAGGATATATAGCTTAGTTTTCCTTTTTCTGTGCATTGATATACAAAAACTTGAAACCACTTATGAAAAACAAACAGAAGAAAGCAAGCAGATAAGATTTTACACTACCACAGTCGTAATTTTCAGTAACGAGACCAACTGAGTTTATATAAATTGACAACTTTTGTGATGCAATAATAATTTTTAGGCATGGAATAACTACATACAGAACAAGTCTACTTCAGTGCGATTAAAAATATTCGATATAAAAGATCTAATTAATGAAATGGTTTGTTATGATAATATGGGAGATTGTTTTATTGGTGAATGTCAGCAATGTTCGACCAAATCTCTTATTAATATTCTTACAGCAAACATCAACGTTGACATGGATGAAAATTGTTCTTGGACTACTTGGAAAAAACTGAACAACAAATTTGACTTGCAACAAACCATGGGTTCCGTTGAAGCACTCTTTGCTCAAATAGAAGCAGAATGGCCCTCATTTATTTTACATACATTTTGCAATCGAAGACAACGTGAATATATAGCTGAAATTCGTACACAATCAACAAAAACAACTTTTATTGTTGCTCAAATGGATTTCTCTATGAATTACACCCTAATTCGTCAACGAGAAGTGCAACAAGGCTTCTTTTCTCAACATCAAGTCTCTCTTTTTACAATTCATTTAACAATCGGAAAAGAACACCGTGATATTGCAATAATCAGTAATTCAATGGAGCATAATGTCGCATTTGTTTACTGTGCTCAAAAAATTCTTGTTGATTACGTAAAGAAAAACTTTCCTGTTCTCAAAAGAATTATCTACATCAGGTAAATGAAGTTAATCATAGGTTAAAGAATAACATTATATAAAACTGGGTTTACGGATCTGAAGAAAGCAAAAACATTGAAAACGTATTTTTACCTTTTATATTTAGACGCATCTTAACCACAGTTAGATTAAATTAGGCTTACATGATTATTTTCTTCCAATGACTTAACTAAGGACAAAATAGTATGTGCCATGGTTCTTAGAAAGTCTCAAAATCTCATCATATTTTGCGAAGCTCGATAATGTCTTTGAAATTCGTTCGCTCTTCGAAGTATTCGAAATTATTTGAGATATTATAAACTATTTGGAACTTTCAAATCTTAGACTCCCTGTGTTCTTGTGGAATTTAATTATGGACCATAGCACCAAATAGTTTTATATTTTTATTCAAGTGATGGTTGTAGCTCTCAATTTAAAAACAATGCTAATATGCTCAACTTAGTACATCATAAGAATGACTTCAATTTGGACGCTTCTTGGGCTTTTACCGCCACTGGCCACGGGAAGGGGGCCGGTGACGGCGTTGGAGCTGTTTTAAAATCAACAGCGAGGCGAATCACCCTTTCCAAAAATATTCTACTATCAACTCCGTATGACTTTTTTACATTTTCCAAAAACCAACAATTGCAAACAGCTAAAGCTGCTGGCAAGGATCACCCAGCCATCGATATATTTTTCCTTGAAGAGAAGCAAATACAACGAACTAAGCTGAACGTTTTAAATGAAAGGCTCCAGCAATTCAAAACAACAGGTACGTCAAACCTCTTAATTTTTTTATTGAAACTTACTGCTCTTTTTTGAGACAGGCACAATTCATGGTATTCGTTGCATGCACGATTTCGAAGTTTTATCTGGCAACACAATCTCTTGTCGTAGAACATCTGCTTCTCAAAAACGTGAAAACTTTACTTTTGAACCGAATTTTTCTTGAATATGTACGCTGATAGGTTTTTCTAATGCTGATATAAAAACGTAAGCGACAGTTTCGCCGAACCATTGCAGTCAATTTCCTACAAACATCTACTTTCTTGATTCCGCTTTCTGATCGCTACAGATTCGTTTTATAAAGTAAATGTTGTCATAAAAACCAAGATAATTACTATTGTGCCGACCACTTTAATTGCTATTACTTATATCAACCGAGTTGTCCGTTTTCTGGGCC